AGCAAAATCAAGCCCTGGGCACTAACCTCATTACGCAGGCCACTCCCTGTGCCAACCGTCCCCGGCACCAAACACATATAAAACACAACTGATTCTCATGGAGCTGACACAGGTAGCTTTCAAGTGGTATTAGAGGGGCCTGGCACAGAGAAGCTGGCAAAACATTTACAAAAGGGATAATGAGGCACCATTTTGCAGAGATTGTGGCGCTTTATGGGCCTCCAACTGTGATGAAACCCACCAAAGGGCAGGTTCATCCCTTGGTGACCAGACTTAACTAAAATTTAAGACCCAATCAAATCACTCAGAATTGAGATTTTTGGCAGCTTATGTGCTTCCCTTTGAGAATCCTGCTGCTTTTCACCTCAGTCAGCCCAACAAGTGAGGTTGCGTGTTCCAATATCATCCACAGTAGCACTGACCTCTGAGTAAGGGACAAACAGAACAGTGCAAACTCTGATTCTGACTTCCGTAAAAGTGCACATGTCCCCTTCCTGCCTAAGCCACCAGGTGGAAGGGGCCCACACCCTTTTCCCCAACCTGTAATTTGTTAGTTAGACGAGCATTTTCTCCATGAGAAAGAAATCTATCAAGCGCTACTTAAAAATCTTCTATGGCCAAAACTGTATGGAAAAGGAATAGCCTCATGCCCCTCTACATGATACCACAAACTTTCTAACAAGAATATTCTATTTGGTGGTAATGCCTATTTGTCTAGCACCTTGCCGTTTATGAGGCACAAGAGCTCTGGGGCCCAAGAGATCGAAGTTCAAATTCCACCCCAGTCACTTCCTAGCACTGCATCTTCAGAAAAGTTACTTAAGTTCTCTGACTGTTGGTTACCCATCTGCAGAAAAGGAATGCGTGTACCCATATACCTCCCTGGGTTTCTGTGAGAATAAAATGACATAAGAAGCCGCACAAATATGAATGTTAATTTATAATAGCCCAAACAGAAACGACCCAAATGTCCATCAACACGTGAATGTATAAACAAACTGTGGGACATCCACACAGGAGAATACTACTCAGCCATAAAATAAGAACGAACTACTACACACAAAACAACACAAATGGGGCACCTGGGTTGCTCAGTAGGTTAAGCGTCTGCCTTCAGCTCAGGTCATGATCCTGGCGTCCCAGGATAGAGCCCCACATCGGGCTCCCTGCTTGGGAGCAGAGAGGAGTCTGCTTCTCCCTCTCCCTCTGCCCCTCCTCCCCACTCATGCACTCTCTCTCTCAAATAAACAAGTAAAGATCTTTAAAAAAATTTAAAACAACACAAATGAATCTCAAAATAAGTAAGGTGAGTGGAAAAAGCCAGACCAAAAAAAGTATGTACCACATGAGTCCATTTATAGAAAATCCTAGAAAATAAAATCAACGATGGAAAGCATATCACTGGTTGTCTGGGGACAGAGAGCTAGGAAAAAGGAGGGATAACAAAGGAGCACGAAGAAACTTTGTGGGAGACGGAAATGTTTTGCATCTTGATGAGGTCATGGTTTCCTGGGTTTGAACACTTAAATACGTGCAGTGTAATGTGCTTAAATTATATTTCCATAAAGTTGAAAAAGCTGGGAAGACATAACGCACCATCATAGGACTGAGCACATAGTAGGCTCTCAACAAATGCTGGCTCCATTCTGGAGCCATAGCAAATGACCCCACTAGAACTTCTGGAAAAGAATCCGACGGGCTGCCAGGGAAGCGAGTCAGCCTATGTAACACTTACTTTGGTGTACTAGAACCCAGATACGTACGTAGGACACGCTCTTCTCAGCTAAAAAGTGTGAACGAAAAAGACGCACAGAAAGATGAGCAAGGCTTGATCTTTGCCCTCGAGGAAACACAAATACGTTTAATGTATGATGTAATAAAAGTGTCATAAGGACGGTACTGACAAATGGCAGGCGTGCAGAAGAGAGTAATGACGATGGGACGGATGTTGGGAAGGAACAGTTTCCGGTGGGTGGGACTCTGGCAAGCAGTGAGGGGTGGGGCAGGCCCTGTGCAGAAAGAGTGGAAGCTGGGATGGGGTGGGGGACACGGCCCACTGTCCTCCAAGGCAGGAGTGGGGAGGGGGGTCCACAAAGGGCAAGGCTGAGCTGGGGAAGGCCCTGAGCCTTCTCCAGTGGAGTAGACTCTCCACTGCATTTTTCCAGGCGAACCAGCCAAAGGGTTTGGCATCATCAGATTTGTGTTTTACACAAATAGGTCCCATCTAGAGGGCCATCTGGCAATTTATCAAGAGTCCTGACATTCATATCTTTCAACCCAGTAATTCCTGAGGATATAATCAAAAATGCACAGAAAGATTTATGGACAGCGCTGCTTATCACAGCATTATTTATAATAGCCCAAAGCCTGAAATAACTTAAATGTCCAATAAAAGAAGACCGTTAAATAAATTATGGTATGTGGAGTGATTAAATCATATACAGCCATTAAATCATATTTTGAGAACATATGGAATGACAGGGTACTGCTTCACCATACAATGTTAAGCTGCAAAAAAGCAGGACGCAAAAATATACAGTAAGTATTCATTCAACAACTATTTATTGATTATCTACTATGTGCCAGGCACTGTTCTAAGTATTGAGAGTACAGCAGAGGGTAAAACAGACACAACCCTGCACTCGTTAGAGGGATCCTACCTTCTAATGAAAGAAGGCAGACCACAAATAAGGCAACAAATAACAACAGGCAGAATATACGGCACGTTAGATGATAGGGAGCGTTATGGAGAAAATCAAGAGGGCAAAGGGATGAGAAGTCGGGGCGCAGGCAGAAATTGCAAATAGGTGGTTAGGGAAGGTGTCACAGAAAAGGGGGAGTGAAGGGTTTGAGCCACGGTTATCTCTGGGAGGACTTCCAGGCAGAGGAAACAAGTAGTGCAAAGGCCCTGAGGAGACCTGGAGAGTTCAAGAAACAGCAAGGCCGAAATGGCAGAACACGCAGGGCAAAGATCTGGAGGATGAGGGTGGAGAGTAGCTGGTGCCTCTCAGGGTGAGGGGAGCCACTGCAGGGCTCTGAGCAGAAGAGTGACATGATCTCTAGGGGGAAAGGAAGAAGCAAGGAGATCAGCTGCGGTTTGTCTGGCGTTTTCCTTGCTTTTTTATAATGGAGGTACGTTCATTTCATAATCAGAAAAAAAAAAAAAAAAGGTAGTTCAATCAAAGAAAGCACAGTGCGGCAAGGCAGTGTGGGTGCTCTGACCAGGGCGGAAGGCAGCAGACAAACAAATCAGGAAGTGAGGGAGGTAACTCAGGCGTCCGTGACAGAGCAGTGAGTACACAGAGGAGGACACAGGTTCAAGGAGGTCTCTGTGAGCAAAACGTGCTCTTCTTACTAATAAATATAACCGTGATGCCAAAAAAATACTTCTATATACGTTCTCATATATATATACATATGAGAAAAAGAATCCCCCTGTATTCTCAGCTTCCTAACAATATTTAACACGTTGGCATATTTCCTTGCGCTCTCTTTTCCTATACATACTTTGGTTTTCTCCATCATTCTACAAGGCCTAGACTGTTGCAGGCACTCAAACGTTCACCAAACAAATAACGGGTGACCAAATGCTCCCAATTATTTTGCATACAGATTTGCTCATGTTACATCAGCTACGTTACAAGCATTTTGAGAAGCAGGTTCAATAGGCTTGGGTGACACAATGGAAATCGTGGGCAAGGAGAAGGCATGGTCACAGATGCCTAAGGTGTCAAGTTCGTTTGAGAGGATGGTAGTGACATTATGCACCCAGGGCACCAGCAGGAAGCCAATCTGATGAGGAAGACACTGGGCTCAGTGTGGTGGACGTGGGGGACGTGCAGGGGCACACAGAACGTCCCTGCAGAGACGCCCAGCCAGCCATGTGTCTCAGGGCTCAAGAGGCAGTGGGAGGCTCGGCGCAAGGTGGTCACAGCAGGAACAGGAGTGGATGTAACACTGGCTGCCCCACGACGTGCTGGCCTCCTGCTAAGAGCTTCTCAGACCCTTCCTCCTCTAGTCGTCACAGCTGCCCTGCGAGGCAGGTATTCATGTGCCCATTCGACAGAAGCCCAGCCCCTCCACAGCAGAGCCAGACTCAAACCCCCAAATATGAGCACTTTCCCACGAATTCTCTTCTCTGTTAATAGGAGCTTAAAATATACCCGGCGGCCCAGGGACAAAGTGGCAAGGTGCCTCAGTCAGTTAGCACTCCTGTTTGTGCGCAACTTCTAGGGACTGCCCCCTACACCAAAAGAATGACCTTTCCTCTTCTGAAGACATATTTTATGTTTTCTTACTTACAATTACAGTCTGTTGAGGTTTTGTTGCTGTTGTTTTTTCATGTGTGTGAGCCTTCTCTCGCGCTAGATAAGAGGCTCCAGGAAACCAGGACACACGGCACGATCTCCCCACAGCATCAGCCCAATACTGTGCACACAGTCGTGCTCAGCAAATGCTCTGGGTGAAAAGGCTATCGCTTGCCAGTCACCCCAGGGCTACTGCGACACTGTGAGTGAGGTGACCCGGCCACCCTGCAGCTCGGATGAGGCAAAGCCAAGCCCAGATGGACAAGCACTCTTGAAAGAGGCCAGACAACAGGCAGGTAAATTTAGGTGGACAGGCACGTTAATAGAAGATAAGGCAAATCTGCCTTTTGCACATGGCTTGCTACAATACAGAGTCCGCAAACTAGTTGGCCCATGGGCCAAACGCAGCCCACCCCCATGTCTGTACTAGTTGACTCACACCTGGTTTTAACTTGTTACAATATAAATTAGTTGCTATCTTTTAAAAAGTGAAGAGTTCTACATAAAAATCTGGATTTCTGTAAGCAGTACCTTTTCGAAGGCCCATCTTTTCCCGTTCCCCATAGCCCCCCCACCTCAAGCCTGCTCCCCTCCCCCGCCCCACCAGCCCTGCCCCAGGGTGGGAGGGGACCTCGGGCACAGAGCTAGGTCTGAGCTCACAGGCCACCAGGAGCTCTGGCCTCCTGTACTCACCAGCACTCAGGGTTGTGAACTCCAGGAAGCGGTATTCGTAGGACACATCTATCTTGGTCTCCACCTGAGGCCTCTTTAAAGTCGAATAGATATTTCCAGGCCGTTTGTCATCGCGTTTCTCCAACTTGTTCAATCCGCAACCCATTTCAGCAGCTGCCAGCAGAAACCAAAAAAAAAGGACAAGGAGAGTGATTTTTTTTTAAACACCACAGTATAAAAGACCCCGTATTTCCCTGAAGACTACATGAAGGACCTCAGCCTTTATGCAACCCAGAGCATAATTCAGTGTCTGACCTGAACATGGCACAACTACACTCAGGACCCAGGCTGGTTTCTCCTTCTGTGAGGACACCATTACCAGCCACCCCGCACTTCTATAATGACACCAAAAGCACACCTGTCTTCTCTCTTTTTTTCCCCCATCTGAGGAAAATAATACCTCAGAGTGCCTCAGTTCCACTCTAATCTGTACACATGATTAAAAAATGAGTTCTTAAAAGCAATATGGTGCATTATGGTGACAGACCATCTGAAAAGAAAAAACAAAACAAGAGACATGTCACTTTTGCTGTAGTTGCTAAGAGAGAATAGTAAGTTGTTGGTACAATTTCCAAACTCCAACAGTAATTATTTAGACAGGAATTTATATTCATAAAACATCTCTAAAAGTAGACGGTGGTATTTTTATGGGCCTCATCTAAAAGTCCCCCTTTTATTCTTTTTGAGACCAAACCACAGGAAATAATAGTATGCTTCCACGTTCTTAGAGAGTCATTTTAGACCAAAATGAAGACTGGCTGAACACTAATAGCAGGGCCAGAGAAACTGGAAGCAGAAACCCACGTGTATTAGAGTGAAGATCTGTGGCGACAGTTTGAAAGAAAAACGGAGAAATGTTAGGATAATGTGCATATTAGGATGGGCTCAGCTCCCAGCCTTTCCAGGGATTAAAAACAATGAGGGGTCTCTGTTTATTTAGGCAGAATGACATTCATGAAGTGACTTTTTATCCACTCTCCAGACTTCAGCAGAAGATATTTTCCTTTTGTGCATGGAGCATGACCAATACTTCCCCCTTCTCTGGGGTACCAGAGCTGCCATCAGAACATATTTCACAAAAATATGAACTGGCCAAGAATATCACAAACAGAAACGTGGTGACCGCTTCCTTTTAGAGATAAGAATTTCCTTTCGCTTAATCCATTCACAAGGTGCCCAGCTTCCTAAGGCAAACTGGCAAGCTCCAGAAAAAACAAAATGAACCTCAAAAAAGCAATAAGTGTGTGGGGGGAGGGGAGCAGTGGAAGAGGGTGGTGTAATGACAACCAGGCTATACTTTTCAGTAATTAAAAAAAGTCTGGAAGGATGGATGAGAACAGGAAGGCTTACTTATGCCTTAATAAGGGAACATTAGTGTCCAAAGGGCCAGGGCAGACATGATTTATGTGCAATCTGCATGAACTGATTACTTGTAAAATACTCTGTAGTTCTGCAGATAGAACAGCTGATATATACAGAGGCTGCTTATTTAACTACGAAAAAGCAAGCCGAGTGGCACCTGCTGAGGCTAAGCAGAAGAGAAGTGGACAGGAAGGCTCCTGTGTACTGGGGAACAGGTGACCCGGCAAGACGAGCACTGTTACCACCAGAACAGAACTGGAAATAACCCAGAGGGCTCACCAAGTAAGTCACTTGTACACCCAGTTCCCTAAGAAAGATTGTTTGGGGCCCTCAAAAAAAGAAACCTCTCCCTCAAAAATCCTCCCATTCTTGTTATCCTATTAGGTAAATTCTAGCATTAGAGACTCATTCCTTTGAAATCAGAATCACTCTCCCTCAGGATCTCCTTTGAAACCACAAATATCTCTACAGGAAGGGCAATGAACGAAGCTTATGGTAGCCACTAACACTTCAGTATGATTTAATATCTTCTATAAAGGATAGGCTCCCTGACAACAGAGAAAAAAGGAGAGGAGGATCAGGATGAGTAAAAAAACTCAGAAAAAAGTTAAGGAGGCGGGAGGAGGTAGGGGATGGCATGCCAAGAAGCGTCAGAAAAACTCTCCCAATTTATAACCTGGAGTTCAAGGTTTCACTCAGATCGTCCCAAACTTGAGGTCTTTGCCCAAGTTTACCCCGAAGGGCACTGTTCTTGTCTCCCAGGACACGACAAGGTTCTGGGTAAGTGATGCATATGATCTGACACAGAAAAAATAAATAGTACCAGCAGCCAGCAGCAAAACTGTAGTATCGGTGAATCCTCAAGATCTCAAACTTAAGGATTCATTTCTTTGGAATACGTGCAACCGGTTAAGCAACTGCTTTTATAGCATGACTCTCTCTAGGAAGGCAGACAAATGAAGCAGCTGTGAGCCAATAAAACCTTAGCGTGAGGGGCGCCTGCGTGGCTCAGTCAGTTAAGCGGCTGCCTTCAGCTCAGGTCATGATCCCAGGCTCCTGGGATCGAGTCCCACATGGGCCTCCCTGCTCTGCGGGGAGCCTGCCTCTCCCTCTGCCTGCTCCCCCTGCTCATGCTCTCTCTCTCTGTCAAATAAATAAATAAATAAATAAATAAATAAATAAATAAATAAATAAAAATCTTAAAAACAAAAAACAACAACAACAAAAAACCCTTAGCGTGAGTCTGTTCCTCTTATTCTTTTGTGGTGAGGGCCCTACCTTACTCACTCCCGGCACACCAGTGTTCCTTTTAGTTCCTTCCTGCGTTCTTCTACCAACCCCCACCCCTGTCAAAAAGTAAAGATTTTCATATCATTCTAAAAATAGCTATTACAGTCCCTCCTGTGCTCAAACAAGAAAGATCTAGCTTACAAAAGGGGGAAAAATAAGATAGAACGGTACCTAACATTACTGTTTACTATGTGAGGTTCCCAGACTCATGCTAGAATCCCACTAGAAACTTGGGGCAAGGGATGGGTATGGGCCTTTGAGGGCAGTGAGAGGTGGGAGGCAGAGGGAAGAGGAGAGGGCACGGCTTTGCCTGATGCAGGCATTTGGTGCACATTCCCTCAGACATTCAGGGAGTGTCTGTCTCAGGGGAAGCACATCTCCCTCAGGAGTCAAGGCCTCTAGTGGGGCAGAAGGTAAATGGTAAGGATAATGGTTTTGAAATATGCCCCCCAAATCCTTTGACACTTCTGCCATTGAAAGGTGGGGTCTACATCACCTCCCCTGAGTCTGGGCTCCATGGCTGCCTGACCAATACAATACGGAGGAATGACACAGTGCCAGTTTCTGGACCTGGGCCTTAAGACATCAGGAGCACCAACTTCTTGATCCTTGGGCTGCCTGTTCTTGGATCCCAGCCACCATGCCATGAGGAAGCCCAAGCAGCCCCAAAGGGAGGCCCATGTGGAGAGGAACCGACAGCCAGCACCAACTTGCCAGCCATCCTGCTGGTGAGCCATCTTGGAAATTGAGCCTCTGCCTCAGTCAAGACACTGACACCATGTGAGGCAGAGACAAGCCGTTTCCACCAAACCCTGCCAAAACTGCAGATCCCTGAGCAAAATACACCATTGTTTGTTTTAAGCCTCTAAGTTTTGGCATGATTCATCATGCAGTATGTAACTCATTCACCAAGTTTGTTCAAAATGACCATGGCTTGCTGCCTCCTCGGGAGAACACCAGCCGAGATTGCCTGCATTTAGGGGCCCTGCTTTAGCCATTCACCCTCTGAAGGGCACTTGGGCTGTTTCCAGTTGATTATGAATAAAGTGGCTATAAACACTCACACAGAGGCTTTTATGAGGACATAAGTTTTCATTTCTCTAGGGTAACACCTGGGAGTGGGATTGCTAGGTTGTGTGGCAAGTGCAGGCGTCCTGTCAAACGAATGAGGCTTCTCTTTCCACATTCACGGTGGCCAGATGCTGACTGCAGGAGAGGCATGGCAGAAGGTGAGACCCTTCGAGAGACTGATCGATTAGCCCCGCCACCTCCTGCTCACTCGGGCATCAGCTCCCTGGGCAGAATCATGAGAGCGGTGCTATTCATGACTCCTTCTCCTTTCGTTGTTGCCTGTTTCTATAAAGGACACACGCTAAAAATCACTTGTGCGTGATGAGATTCTCCCGGTCCATCCGACCCCCACAGCTCTGCCCTTCCATATTCCCACAGTCACCCCACCCTGACACCTAATGTAAATCAAGTTACTCGTTTTATGTGTGAGTGGATCACTGGATCAGCTTTGATTATGACAGTCGTACAGGAGGCTTTTCTCTTTTGTTTCTACCTCTGTCTTCCCAGAATACAACCCAGCACCCATGCGTATGCGTCTCTCTAGCATCAAGGGACCAAGAAAAACCTTCCAAGAGTTCTTCAAAGGTAAAGCAAAAAGAGGAAGTCTTTCCCCATTCCTGTGGCGAGACTGTGGGGAAAGAGCCAAAACAAACATACAGTTCTCTAGCAGAAATCGGCCAAAAGTAATTAGGAACTGGAGGCTGATTATGGAGGAAAATAAGGTAATCACCAGGAGGTTGAGACCCTGGCTGCAAAGGAGAGGACGTTAGAGATTGCAAATGACCAGAAAGCAGAGAGCCCTCAGATGGTGAGGTTCTGAAAAATCAGTTCTTTCCAAATCAAGCCTAGCGTGAGGTGTGTCTTTGAGACACCGCGGCCCAGCTTCATGCAGAAACTGTCAGCTCCATGAGAGAGGGAACTTTTCCAAATTCATGCATACGTGCATGCATTCATTCAGCACACATTTATTAAGGTCTGCTGTAAATCAGGTCCTCAATTAGGAAAGATAAAAATGGGAAGACCAGGCCCTGCTCTTAAGGAAATCGGAGGTGAAAGAAGGAGAAAGACAGTGAACAGATGTACGTGGTGCAGTGGGGCGGGCTGTTCTGGGAGTCTGGGCACAGTGCAGGACATTCAGAGAAAACCCCTGTGATAGAAAACAGACCCGGTTCCAGAAGAAGCTGATCAGCAAGGGGGCATGATGTCCTGTGTCATTTTCAATGTTGAAATCTTTAACTTTTTATTTTAAAGTATTTCTGATTTGTTTCTGAAATGCTTCCCAAGATGCTCATAAGACACTGGAAAACCACTTCAGAAAGGATCACCTCCTTAAAAGATTATTTTTCAGCTCGTGTTTCTAAAACTTCAGTTTAAAGGTTCATTTTTACTAT